GTTTTCGAACCACCATAATGAGCATATCCTCAAGAAAGACCTGAGCTATCTCATCCTCACTAAGCCTGTCTAGACTTCAGAAGTGACCAGCTTGTAGAAGACCACTCCATGGAGCTAATAAAGCTGAAAGGAACTTTCTTCAGCAGTAGGAAAAAACAAGAGATGGACAGATAAAAGAGATGGGGAAATGGACAAGAAAGCAGTGAAGTAGGAGACAATGAAAATCCTATTGTCCCAAGACTGATGGACAAAGTAGAAGGACCCTGAATCAACTAGCCGGGGCTCTGTAAAGGAAAAGCTGTTAAGAAGAGATAAAGAGACATAAAGAATCACTGCAGGGAAAAAAATAAAATAAAATAAAATAAAATAAAATAAAATAAAATAAAATAAAATAAAATAAAATAAAATAAAATAAAATAAAATAAAATAAAATAAAATNAAAATAAAATAAAATAAAATAAAATAAAATAAAATAAAATAAAATAAAATAAAATAAAATAAAATAAAATAAAATAAAATAAAATAAAATAAAATAAAACTAAGGGCATTCCATTGCAAAAGCCACCCTGTTCGCATGTTGGAATAAAAGGATGAAACAGTATTCCCCGTATGGCAATGGACACATGGAAGAGCAGAAAGCTCTTTGTTTCTCAAGACAATATAGACTGAAGTCACCAAACAGCTACTCCAGAGASTCAATCAAAGTGGCACCTGAACAGGTAAAGGTCTCGCTTACACGAATGAAGATAACCCCACGGAGCACAATATCTCCATTTCTCATTTCCTCAAAGAGGGAAAAGACCCTTCATACTCAGAAGAACTACGTATTAGGGTTGAAAAGTCAAGCTATCAAATGACTGTAAGAATTCAGACTATGTAAAATATTCACTTAATAATTAGTTATTTGGTATTTTCTCTTACCTTCAGTATCTATTGAATCATCCTACATGCTATGCATGATTTAAGTTCTCCCTCAAAAATGAAACTAGTTTCTTCATCAGTATTTCAGCAGTGCCCATTACTACGCCAAAGTATTTTGGTGCTTCAGACATTGCATAGCAATATTCTCCACAAAAAGAAACAGTGGAATATCTATTTCACCGAGACAAAACAAATTAGATAAAGATACGTGGAATCTTTTATTTCTATATCAAACCATCTGCTTTTTTTTCCAAGAATACCTAACACATGCACTGAGGTCAATAATTCTGTACATTTTAAAATGTGCTCCTATTGATCTCGGTAGCGAGAGTAACGTATAATAAGGCGCCATGTGCAACATCAAAAAAAGTCATTTGCAAATGCCTCTAAAAAAATAATGTTAGGAGACCTGCAACAGAAGCAGTGGAAGAATTCAGTTCTTCAAGTTAGCATTCGACCATATTCAATTATTCCTAGCTATGCTGCTATTGAACAGCTATTGCAATTTCACTCGTTAAATTCACAACATAGTCCTTGCTCAGGGACCATACTAAATTTCTCTGCATCATTTCAATTTTAGTATATGAGCTGCCAAAAATGACTGACTTCACTGATTAGAGATAAGATAATAAATAAATCTCTGCTTTGGAGTCCTACTGGGAATAGCAATACAACAGCACGCTGTGTTTTTACATCAGTATTGCTCAGGCTGTGCTCATTAAATTAAAAAAAAAAAAAAAGAAAAAAGTATGCTCTAGTTAATTCAAAAGCAAAACTTCAAATAACTGATTTTTATTGTGAAACATATGATTAAATAGTTTCAATTCAGAATAGCAGAGTACCTTCATTTTAAGTCACATTTGCATATTCTGGTTTCTAAGGGCCTTTGCAGTTGTTTTGTTTTAAGCAGATCTCACACTAAGTTTATATATGACAATAGGAAAAAAAACTGTTAAGATGCTGATAAAAAAAAAAAAAGAAACAGTATTTTAAAATAGGGCACTATTGCCTTATATTATGCAGCAATAGTGACAAGCAAGCCATAAAAAAATACTTAATTTGACACTAAAATAATCTATGCAAAGGTAACAGGCCTGAAAACTAGTTGCATTCAGAAAATTTACAAGTACATAACAGTTCTAAAATCAATTCCCCTGAACACACATTGTAACAAATGAGATCTTTAAAATAGAAAAGGCAATAGCCTACTTACATGATATAAATTCAAATGAAAAGGAACTAAGTATGCTACAAGTAAAGAATGTATCTACCACAGAGATTTCTGGGAGTTTGGGAGGTTAGAGAATTGGAAATACTTTCAATAATAGAAAATACCTACTAAGGTACAAAGACTCTGGATACAGAGAGGTTTTTCAAAAAAAAAAAGTATTAAGTATTCCAGTATTGCTTACTAAAAGTACTAAGTTCCAACTACTCAAATCCTTACTGCATCATGTATTCCTAGAAACCTGACAGAAAAAAAGAGCATGCACAACAGCTGAAATGTTCAGCATTCAATTCTGTTAAACTTTCACAGTATCATCTATTATTACTTAGCATTTACAATTCAGACCCTGGAAATGGATGCAATATAATCAACACAGAGTAAACAACTTCAGAATTCATTAAAGTCAGTATTTGAAGATGTGCTTTGGTTTTTGATTTAAACACTGCTATTTTTATGTGCATTTGCGTATTAAATAAACATACRCTGCAGAGCTGTTGTACTACCATACTTAGAGAACCTTTCTGAGTACATGAGTCACTTTACGGTCACTTTCAACATAGAAAGATTGTTTCTTCCTTCCATCACGCTAATCATTTTTCCCCAATAAAAAAAAAAAAAAAATCCAAATCCAAAACAAATACTATATTCTAATACAGACTATGATTTTCAACAGYGTTTACATAGAAGAACCTCCATGGTCACTGCAAAAAGAAAATGAAATAACAACTACAGATTTGAAGGTTGAATTTCATAGTGAGCAAATGGAGAATCTATGCTCTATCACTCACAATCCAGAAGTTGTCTAGTAAGTTGTTCACATATGTACACCCACATATAATTTGGAAATAAATATGTTCATTTCAGAGTTCCTTTCTTTCACTACTTCTTCTGTCCAAATCTGAATGGAATATGTACAAACAATTTCCAGAACATACCAGATGAGATTCATTCAAACTAGTATAAATGTTCTATTTCAAACATCCTGCAACTATGTAAATAGTATGACCCATAAAAATGCAATTTTCTTTCAATTTAATATGTTCACAAAACTTTCTTCCCTCCCTCAAACTCTCCAAACCTTCACAACTCCTACTTTTCAAATTAAAGAAAACCTTTCAATAGTGTAAAGTGTGAAATTTGGCTGCTCTTTCAAATTGTTTTCACTATATCTTAAATTTTATTAAACAGAGTATTAACTTCTCCTACAAGTCACAGACCTAAGTTCTGAAATGCCAGAACAAAGCTATGAACACAGAAAAGTAATCAGAAAAACAGTGTAAAAGTAGAAACAGGATTTTATTAAATTCAGCATTTTTCCCAAAAAATGAAATTAAGCTTAGAAAACTCTTAGAAAGTACATTGTTCCACTATGTGTAAAAGTCAAAGACAGGATTCGTTAGAATGGAATGCTGTATTCTGACACAGTTGACTCAAGAAGTTTTATTTACCAATTTGTTTATTAATGACTATCATCTAATATAAATATATATAAAAATATATATTGGTCTGTATTGTGTGTCCATCTGATATATTCTATTTCCAATTCTTTTCTTAAATGCTGCCTTTACTATTGTTCCACAATACTGACAACTAAAAAACTGTTTCCTGTTATAGCAATCTTTTTCTCTAAGAAAGGCAATGGCCTTAACTCATAAGAAAGAGTCATTCCTCCCCACCTACCCCCAACCAAAACAATTCCCCAAATCCTTAGCAACTTTTATAAAGACATCAGCTTTACTCTCACAAGTGTCTGTAGCCTTCTTCTATCAGAGCAGCCAAGGGAACACGTCTAAGCTTGGGAAAAAAAGGCAAGGTAAATTAGAGCATATCTTGCACCTGCACTGAAGAAATGGGCATTAAACATTTGTAAATGAGTTAATATGATGAGCTAGAGGAAAAAAAGTCTTTAAACGAGACAAAACATTTTTAAAAGTTACATTCACATGAAAACATAGACCTTTGTCCTCAGTACAGTAATAACAAAGCAAAGTTATTTGACCTGTTGTCATGATGCTTTTATTGCATGTTAAGCAAATTGCATCCCTCCATTTATTTTCCTGAACACATACCACAGAACACCCAGTGGGTAGTTTATTTATGAGTGTGGCCCTGCCCTCTTTTTTCCTCTCTCCAATATTATTCATTACGCTTCAAGATCTTGTTTCAAGTTTCTGTAGATGCTCACTGCAGATAAAGGCATTCTCAAGCATGGAAAAAGGCACAGAACAAAACCCCTTCAAAGGAAGGACATGCTGTTAGTATGAGATGTTCCCATCTCTCTGTACAGTTATCTAAGCGGATAACCTAAGYCTGACTGCTGCAGAAATAATAAAAAGCCTGAGCAGATTGTATTTCCACATAAGATTTTCACCCTGTTAGTGAATTCAACCCTTAAAAATTAGACAGCTTCTTAAGTCCCCAATAAATTATTGACAAGATTTAATTAACAAAAAAAGGACTGTAGAACACTCTTAATTTAATAACAGTGTAGAGTATTTCAAAAGATATGTTTATAGCTAAGGAACACAGCACTGGAGGTGCTTCCATGCTCCTGCCAAAACTTGTTTGACACTTGATTGGGCGTCAGCTTTGGAAGTACCTACGGCTTCGCTGGGAGCTCTCAGCAGGGAGGATTTTAGCTGCGCTTGGGGCGTCCTACCGATGTTGGGTCCAATCAGTTGTTTCCTGTTTCTAGTATAAGGATCTCCATTAACCCATTCCCCATTTTTCAAATTCCAAACACACAGCCTCCCAAATGACACTAAACGAGCAGCCCGAGAACAAGCTTTGTTACTAAAAAACAAACAAATGACATAAAGATGTGATAGTTCTGAGGAGAGCACATACTTACCCGAGGCATCTCCAACCTTAAAATCACTGTCATCGGAGCTATCATAATCTAGCGCTTCCAGCAGCGAAGCCGCCAGGGGCTTCACCTGCCTCCTCTTGGAGCTGCGATCCACTGCGGGAGGGGAGCAAAGCGGGGCGCGTTAGTGCCAGGGGCCCCGCGGGAACCGGACGGGGGGCCCCGCTGCCCCGCCACGGCGGGCGCCCCAAGGCGCGGGCGGGCGGGAGCTCCCCGGGGAAGGGGCGGGGAGAGCAGCTCGGGGGCACTTACTGGAGGCTGCGCAGGACGGCGGCGACGGCGGCAGTGGCGGTAACGGCGGCGACGGCGGCGCTGCGGGCGCCGCCCCCCGGCGCCCCTTCCCCGCACAATAGCGCGGCGGCGGCGCCGACCCGGATGCAGACCCGCGCCCGCCGCCGCCCCTG